GCCAGCCAACCCATGGTCGGATGAATCGTGCCCCCCCTAACCAGAAACGACGGCACGCATGTGACGATATCGGCCACGCGGCTGGGACAGCAAACGGCCCGCAAGGGATCCAATGTCGACGGGCTGGCATCTCCCAAATCCCTGCGCGGGGCCCGTGCCAGAGCACGGTCGAAAACATGCGGCGATGCGCCGGTCTCTTCAATGCACGCGGCGCACTCCACGCGCCAGCGGCACATATGCTGACGGCGGCCATCGCGGGCCAGAGGAAAGAGGAGGACGACGGCGACGACGAAGAGGAGAGGACAGAAAGGAGAGGGGTCACCCTCGCTGAGCGTCTCGGCTGGGCGGCGCGCCAGGCAGGAGTCTCGCCCTGGCACCGCCGGCCCCTGAGCACACTAAATCGGCACCTCGAAACCACGCACGAAGGAGGGGGAGGAGGAGGGCGAGAAGACGACGACGAGAAGCGGAAGAAAGGAAAACTGACGCTGCTGCGAGCGTCCTGGCCTCCAGCCAAATGTCCTCGGGCACGCCTCAACAGTGGTGTGCCAATGCACCAGCGGCCCTGGCATAGCCACGCACCAATTCGCGCACCGACTGTTGCAAGGCTTCACAGGCCGCCCCTCCCAGAAACACGCGCCCATGCCGCACGAGGCAATGCACCCTGTAGGCCACGGCTGTGCGCACCGCCTTTCGCACGAGAAGCTCGTCCGCGGTCTCGGCGGTGTGCGGCGGCACGTCCAGGATGAGGAAGCACGATAAACGATCGGCTGCCGTCGGGAACCGCGTCAGACCCAGCCGCGATCGTGCGAAATTCCACACGCAGGGGCGCGTCGCAAAATGCTCAATCGAGTCCGACACACCTGGCCCGCACAAGATGCACCGATTCAGGCTACCGGGGCGGTCTGACCATCGCCGGTGCGTCACCCAGCCGTTCCACAGGGTGCGCCACATCGCGGACCACGCCCGGGGCGGCAATAGTTGACCAAGTCGTCGCAGTACTTGGATGCATCGCTGGGCACGGATCCGCGGAAACTGCGGGACAGCCCAGCGGTCCAGCTTGTGGCGCGCCCGGACCTCGATCCACGCTTCGCTCACCGATTGAACGGCCGCGTAGGCACCGTGCTGAAACCCACGACGGACTCGCTGCGCCGTGCAGTGCCGGAACGGCCGCGCCTCGCCCGAAGCCAACTGCATCTCAATATCAGCGGGCGTCAGGCCGGCTCTGTCGAAGAAATCCACGGCGCCTTCGAGCTGTAGCACGAACGACCTCTGAAACCAATGGCTCCACGTGCCGCTGCGCACGACATGATCTGTGTCTGCCAACCGTCGGTGCAGGCGTCGCGCCCGCTGGGCCACTGCCAAGCCCCGCGGCACAGCTTCCTGGTGCGCAACCCGTAGACGGCTCGCAAGTGCCACTCTATCTGCGTCGGGGATTTTTTAGGAAAGCCCAGGGCGCGCAAGGCACGGAGGTCGTCCGGGGAACACCATGAACCAGGGCCTGGCACCAGCCTGCGCATCGCTTCTGCCTCGGTCTCCCCCCAAGTGTCCAGGAGGGAGTCTAGCTGCAATAGGAATGAAACCACGCGCAGAATGTACACTCGGACTCGATTGGACAGGACATTCGAAAGGATACAAGACCCTTCCGCGGTCCCCATGCCATAGGAATGAAGGAGACATGGGTCGCAAGACACAGGACACGAGGGTACCCGGGCCGTCTGTAGACGGAGTACGCCGCTGCAGTCAAGAGTAGCCCGCCCCCAATGGCTCCCCAGTCGGCCGCTCCGTCAAGATACTTGCGAGAAGCCTTATCGAAAGCTTTCTGGCCACGTGCTGATATATACTTATATATAACAAAATGAGATACATACGTATACAGATACGTGTACATCATATATGCATGCATGTATACATATATATATATACATACATATACATGTACATTTATGTATACCTATGCACATCATATACATATAAATGTATACGTATATGTATACAAATACATGCATACATACATACATACATACATACATACATACATACATACATACATGCATGCATGCATGCATGCATACATACATACATACATACATACACACATACACACATACACAAATACACACATACATACATACATACATACATACATACATACATGCATGCATGCATACATGCATACATACATACATACATACATACATACATACATACATACATACATACATACACATATTCATGCACTTTGCTCACCTGAAAACTGCAAGACGTAGGCGTAGGTGCTGCCCAGTAGCCTCTGTAGTCTGATCGTGTACCGCCCCCCCCCCCCTGCACGGACAGGCGCGTGCAGCCCCCCCCCCCTGCCCCCGCGGGCCACCACGCCCCGCAGAACACCGTGCCCCCCCCCCCCCGACGAGGCCACGGCCCCTCGTGAAACGCAGCACGTGCCCGCGCCCCGAGCTTCCAAGGGTGGCCCGGGCAGGCAAGCGAGGCCCTGGAAAGGCCCTTCGACTGCCCAAGGCGGCGCCAAGACGGCCCCACGAGGACGCCGAGGCACCCACCAGACTGCCAAGAGGGCCCCAAGACGGCCCAAGAGGGCCCCAGAAGGCCTGAGAGGGCCCCAAAACGGCCCAAGAGGGCCCCCAAGGGACCCCCACGGCTGCCTCCCAGGAGGCCCAGGAATCCAAAAGACTGCCCAAACAGGTTTCATGAGAGCTCCTGGAATAGTGAAGACGAAAGGTGTCACGTGTGACAGCCTTCCTCTTTTTCTTCCTTTCCATGTTCCTCCTCCTCATCCTCCTCCTCCCCCTCCTTGTCATCATCATCATCATCATCATCATCATCATCATCATCATCATCATCATCATCATCATCATCATCATCATCATCATCATCATCATCATCATCATCATCATCATCATCATCATCATCATCATCATCAGCATCAGCATCAGCATCAGCATCATCATCATCATCATCATCATCATCATCATCATCATCCTCATCCTCATCCTCATCCTCATCCTCATCCTCATCCTCATCAGCTTCAGCAGCATCATCAGCAGCAGCATTAGCAGCAGCATCAGCATCAGCATCAGCATCAGCATCAGCATCAGCCAGTATCATCATAACAATCATCATCAGCATCATCATCAACATCATCATCAGCAGTATCATCAGCAGCCAAGGCAGCAGCATAATCATCCCCATGTTCGTCTTCATCAACAACCCGATCATCATCGTCATCATCATCGCCATCAACATCAACATCAACATAAGCATCTGCATCATCATCAGCAGAAGCATCATCACCATCATCAGCATCACCACAAGCATCATCAACATCATCATCATCATCATCATCACAAGCATCATCATAATCACCACAATCATCACCACCATCACCATCACCATCATCAGCATGATAAGAAGAATCATCAACAACAACTAAATCAGATTCGTTATCATAAGCATCATCATCAGCATCATCATCAGTAGCATCATCCTCCTCATCCTCATCCTCATCCCCATCCACATCCGCAGCTGCAGCAGCAGCATCATCAGCATCATCATCATCATCATCAGCAGCATCATCATCGTCATCGTCATCGTCATCGTCGTCGTCACTGCCAACACCACTACCAACCATCATCAACATCATCAACATCATCTGCATCTGCATGGCTCTCCTAAGTCTGGAGACACGAGGTGTCACACGTGACGGTTTTCCGTACCACCTCGAACAGTCTCCATCCAGAATGCTGGGCTGGCACGGTGGCGGGACTTGCCGCAGATAGCGCGACTTGCCGCAGGCAGGTGCGTGTGCCTACGTCGTGATAACTTCGCAGTACGTTGATCCATGAGATCTAGAAACTCCCCCAGAGCAGGTTATGCATCCCGAGACGTTTCTCGACAGCCAAGGCTGCCACCTCCTCCTCCTCCTCCTCTTCCTCATCCTCCTCCTCAATCTCCTCATCGTCATCGTCATCATCATGATCACCATCAGCAGCACCATCATCAACAACATCAACATCAACATCAACATCAACATCAACATCAGCATCAACATCAACATTATCACCAGTCAGCATCACCATCACCATCACCCTCACCATCATCATCATCATCATCATCATCATCATCATCAGCAGCATCATCATCATCATCATCATCATCATCATCATCATCATCATCATCATCATCATCATCATCATCATCATCATCATCATCATCATCACCACCACCACCACCACCAGCATCATCATCATCATCATCATCATCATCATCATCATCATCATCATCATCATCATCATCATCATCATCATCGTCATCATCATCACTAGCATCATCATCATCATCATCATCATCATCATCATCATCATCATCATCATCATCATCATCCTCGTCGTCGTCGTCGTCATCGTCGTCATTGTTGTCATCACCACAGCATCATCATCACCACTGTCACCGCTACCATCATAATCCTCATCTTCTTCATCATCATCATCATCATGAGCATCATCATGATCATCATCATCATCATCATCATCATCATCATCATCATCATCATCATCATCTTCAGCATCATCATCAGCATCATCATCATCGTTATCATCATCAGCAGCATCAGCATCGTCATAATCCACGTCGTCATCATCATCGTCATCGCAATCATCATCAGCATCATCATCACCATCGTCAGCATCATCATCATCATCATCATCATCATCATCATCATCATCAGCATCATCATGAGGGAGGGGGAGAGAGAGAGAGAGAAGAGGGAGGGGGGAGAGAACTGGTGTGGGGGGGAGAGAGAGAGAGAGAGAGAGAGGAGCAAGGAGGCAGCGGGAGGAGGAGGAGGAGGAGGAGGCGCAGGAAGGCAGGGGGATGCAGGAGGCAGGAGGTGGCGGGAGCCCGAGGAGGCAGGAGGCAGGAGGGATAGGGAGGGAGGGAGGGGAGAGGGAGGCAGGCAGGGGGGGGGGGGGGCAGAGGGCAGGGCGCACCTGCACCTGTCCGCCTGCCAGATCAGCAGGGCCATGCCGCAGTACTCCATCGTCTCGACGCGAGGCGGCGGCCAGCTGCGCGCGGCCCGGCGGGGGCGGCGCGGAGCGGCGCGCGGGGGCTCGCCGACGAGCGAGGCCGGCTCGGAGCGCGCGCCGCGGCCGGCCGCACCGGCACGGGCTCGGCAGCGGAGCGAAGCGGCCGCGCCGGGAGGCACAGCGGCGCCGTGCGGGCCCCGGGCCGCACCGCATCGCCTGGAGATCGAGAGCGAGCGGGAGCGGGGCCGGCGAGGCCGACCTCGGATCGCCGGCCTCGAGCGAGCGGGATCGAATCAACCGGGTGGTGTCGAGAGCGAGCGGGATCGAGCGGGATCGTCTGAAGGTCGAGATCGAGCGGGATCGGGCGGGATCGAATCGACCGGATCGGGAAGGGCACCGGATCGACGCCTCGAGGGTCGAGGCTTCAGAGTGCCTTCCGCCGGCCCTCCCGGGCCTGCATCGTCGAGGCCTCGAGAGCCTCGGGGGCCTCGAGGCACGGAGGCCGCGAGGGGTCCACGCTTGTTTCCTCAAGTAGGCTTGGCCTTAGGGCCGCTTCCCTGTTCCCTACCTGGGCTCTGCCTAGGAGGGTTCTTACTCGCTTGGCTTCAAGGGGCCGGGCAGTGCAAACCGCCCCGGGCGGTTCCCCCAGTCCCCTGGGAGCCAAGCAAAAGCAACGGCAAAGGTAGAAGCAAACGCGCGGTTTCCCCAGTTGCGCTCCCTGGGTGCCAGGCAAAAGCAAAAGCAAAGGCAAAAGTGAAGGCAAAAGCGAAGGCAAAGCAAAAGCATAGCATAGCATAGCATAGCATAGCATAGCATAGCATAGCAAAACATAGCGCAGCATAGCACAGCGCAGCATAGCATAGCATAGCCTAGCCCAGCATAGCATTGCACAGCACAGCATAGCATAGCATAGCATACCATAGCAGAGCAGAGCAGAGCAGAGCATAGCATAGCATAGCATAGCGCAGCACAGCATCCACGATTGCCGCTGCTATATACATATATATATATATATATATACTTATATGTGTGTGCGCACGTATGTTCCATGAATGTTGTCCGCCTGTGGGCCATCTTAAGCCCTTAGTGAGGAGGAGGAGAAGGAGGACGGCGTTTACCGTTCCTACTAATGTTGCTTTCCTAGAGGCTCCAACTCCTAGGTAGGGTCGCACTGGGATAATTTTTGAAGAACCAGTGGGTGCGAAGCGCGGTCGTCACTGGGTTCCCCAGGCTTCCTTGGTCTTGCTTCCTTCGGAGGGGGCTCCCCAAGGTTCCCTGGTCTTGCTTCCTGACAAGGCGATGCCCGGGTTCCATTGACTCCCGGGCGCGCCGCTGGATCACCCAAAAGGGGGGGGGGGGGTTCGGACCCCCCACCCCCCCCCCCCTTGCCCGACCATGGTCGGCGAACCTCCCCCACCCCCCCCCCCTTGCCCGAGCCGTCGTCGGCGAACCCCCCCCCCCCCCCCTTGCCCGAGCCGTCGTCGGCGAACCCCCCCCCCCCCCCTTTCCCGAACCGTCGTCGGCGAACCCCCCCCCCCCCCTTTCCCCGGCTCGCGCCCCGGCTCCGGAACCCCATCCCTACCACTCCCGCCCCGACCCCCCCGAACCCCTAACCTCTAACCCAAACCCTGAACCCTAATCCTTAATCCCTAACCCGAAGCCTAAACCCTAACCGTAGACCTAACCCTGACCCCAAACCCTAACACTAAGCCTAGCCCTAACCTAAGCTCTAAACCTGAACCCTTAACCCTAGCCCTCAACCCTAATCCCTAACCTCAACCCTACCCCATCACCCTAAACCCTAAACCCTAACCCTAACCCTAAACCCTAACCTCAACCCCAACCCTGACCCTAAACCCTAAACCCTAGCCCTAAACTCTAAACCATAACCCTAAACCCTAACCCTAACCCTAAACCCTAACCCCAAAAACCCTACACCCTAAACCCTGACCCGAAACCCTAACCCTAACCCTAACCCCATACACCCTAATCCTTAACCCTAACCCTAACCCTAAACTCTAGCCCTAACCCTAACCCTAAACCTTAACCGTAACCCTAAACCCTATGACCTAACCCTAAACCTTAACCCTAACCCTAAACCCTGAACCCTAAACCTTAACCCTAAACCCGAACCCGAACCCTAACCCTAAACCCTAACCCTAACCCTAAACCTTAACCCTCAACACAAACCATACCCCTAACCCTAAACCCTAACCCTAACCCTAAACCCTAAACCCTAACCCTAAACCCTAACCCTAACCCTAACCCTTAACCCTAACCCTTAACCCTAACCGTAACCCTAAACCCTAGCCCTAGCCCTAACCCTAAACCCTAAACCCTAAATCTCTAATCTCTATAATTATTAAACCCTAAATCCTTCCAAACCGGCCGCTATGCAGGTCGGCCTCTATCCCTTGCAAAAAATACGATTTCCTGATCATGCGATCAGAAAACCCTGTTTTTTACAATACATTCTGCCTGGCCCCAGTCGCGACCCGGGCTCATCCATTGCAAAAAATACGATATCCTGATCATGCGATCAGAAAACCCTATTTTTTACAATACAAAGTGCCCGACCCGGTTCGCGGCCCCGGATGTAACCCGGGATTTTATATTGGAAAACATACTATAAACTCAACATCCTGCTCTTGCAAGATGTGTCCATGGTCTTAAGCGATAGCAAAACATACGACAAATTGCACACGCGCGCGGCGGCCCCGTATGCGTACCGGAGTTTTATATTGTAAAACATATTATAAACTGAAGATGCTGCTCTTGCAAGATGTGCGCATGGTAATATTCCATTGCAAAAAAAAACGACAAAGTGCACAAGCGCGCGGCGGCCGCGCGACCATGGCCAATTCCTTTGGAAATTTTAATTCCCAACCATCCTGTGGTGTTGGGTCCTCGTTTTGAAGTGACGGTGGTCCGCGTCTCCTCCTCCTCTCCTCTCCTCTCCTCTCTCCTCTCTCTCCTCTCCTCTCCTCTCCTCTCCTCTCCTCTCCTCTCCTCTCCTCTACTCTCCTCCTCTCCTTCTCCTCTCCTCTCTCCTCTCCTCCTCTCCTCCTCCTCCTCCTCCTCCCTCCCTCCTCCTCCCTCCTCCTCCTCCTCCTCCTCCTCCTCATCCTCCTCCTCCTCCCTGCCTCCTCCTCCTTCCTCCTCCTCCTCCTCCTCTTCCCTCCTCCTCCTCCTCCTCCTCCTCCTCCCCTCCTCCTCCTCCTCCTCTCTCCTCCTCTCCTCTCCTTCCTACTCCTCCTCCTCTCTCCTCCTCCTCCTCTCCTCCTCCTCCTCCTCCTCCTCCTCCTCCTCCTCCTCCTCCTCCTCCTCCTCCTCCTCCTCCTCCTCCTCCTCCTCCTCCTCCCTCCTCCTCCCACCATCATCATCGTCATCACCCATTTCGGCACACCCCTCACACGTTTCGTGGCCCCATAGGGAGCTCCACCGAAGGCCCGAGGGCTGCCGCCCGCATGCGCCCCCTACACCCATTTCGGCACACCCCTCACACGTTTCGTGGCCCCATAGGGAGCTCCACCGAAGGCCCCATGGCTGCCGTCCGCATGCGTCCCGCACACCCATTTCGGCACACCCCTCACACGTTTCGTGGCCCCATAGGGAGCTCCACCGAAGGCCCCATTGCTGCCGTCCGCATGCGTCCCGCACACCCATTTCGGCACACCCCTCACACGTTTCGTGGCCCCATAGGGAGCTCCACCGAAGGCCCCATGGCTGCCGTCCGCATGCGTCCCGCACACCCATTTCGGCACACCCCTCACACGTTTCGTGGCCCCACAGGGAGCTCCACCGAAGGCCCCAGTGCTGCCGTCCGCATGCGTCCCGCACACCCATTTCGGCACACCCCTCACACGTTTCGTGGCCCCATAGGGAGCTCCACCGAAGGCCCCATGGCTGCCGTCCGCATGCGTCCCGCACACCCATTCGGCACACCCCTCACACGTTTCGTGGCCCCACAGGGAGCTCCACCGAAGGCCCCAGTGCTGCCGTCCGCATGCGTCCCGCACACCCATTTCGGCACACCCCTCACACGTTCCACCGAAGGCCCAGGCTGCCGTCCGCATGCGTCCCGCACACCCATTTCGGCACACCCCTCACACGTTTCGTGGCCCCATAGGGAGCTCCACCGAAGGCCCCATGGCTGCCGTCCGAATGCGTCCCGCACACCCATTTCGGCACACCCCTCACACGTTTCGTGGCCCCACAGGGAGCTCCACCGAAGGCCCCAGTGCTGCCGTCCGCATGCGTCCCGCACACCCATTTCGGCACACCCCTCACACGTTTCGTGGCCCCATAGGGAGCTCCACCGAAGGCCCCATGGCTGCCGTCCGCATGCGTCCCGCACACCCATTTCGGCACACCCCTCACACGTTTCGTGGCCCCACAGGGAGCTCCACCGAAGGCCCCAGGCTGCCGTCCGCATGCGTCCCGCACATCCATTTCGGCACACCCCTCACACGCTTCGTGGCCCCACAGGGAGCTCCACCGAAGGCCCCATGGCTGCCGTCCGCATGCGCCCCCACACCCAGTCGGCACACCCCTCACACGCTTCGTGGCCCCATAGGGAGCTCCACGAGGCCCCATGCGGCCGTCCGCAGCGTCCCGCACACCCATTTCGGCACACCCCTCACACGTTTCGTGCCCCACAGGGAGCTCACGAAGGCCCCCATGGCTGCCGTCCGCACCCGCACACCCATTTCGGCACACCCCTCACACGCTTCGTGGCCCCACAGGGAGCTCCACCGAAGGCCCCATGGCTGCCGTCCGCATGCGTCCCGCACACCCATTTCGGCACACCCCTCACACGTTTCGTGGCCCCACAGGGAGCTCCACCGAAGGCCCCAGTGCTGCCGTCCGCATGCGTCCCGCACACCCATTTCGGCACACCCCTCACACGTTTCGTGGCCCCATAGGGAGCTCCACCGAAGGCCCCATGGCTGCCGTCCGCATGCGTCCCGCACACCCATTTCGGCACACCCCTCACACGTTTCGTGGCCCCACA